ATGAGCTTTTATTATGCCTAAATCTTTAATATTATTTCGTCATTTCTTTTAACGATGTTCACAGTTTTATTGTGCTTTAATGATTTAACCCTTTTAAGTGTACTGAATGAAATCTGATACTGAAATTATTGTGGATACATTCTCGGGCAAGTATTTCAAATAACCTCGGAAACTTTTGTAGAATAATTAACTAATAATGTTAGGTACATTTAATGTTTTAAAAGAAATAAGGAATAAACAAGTGTTTTTTTTTTTTAAAATGTTTTTGTATATTAAATTTAATGATTTTTTTGGGATTATGGGTGGCTGTAGGGGGATGTGGGGGGCTTTGCCCCCCCCACGGTAATGTGACAGTTAATTTTGTGTGAAACGCTCATTCATCAAACATCCTCTGAGTCCCCTTCTAGTTTTTTTCCAAATCAAGCACTGGTTCTACTGCTTCACCGTTATTTACCCCACATAAAATATAAAATATCGAATATAATAACAATTATTTTGGTTGGCACGTCACCCACCAACATTTTCTGGTCCTAGAAAAATTCTGCTCAGTTTTAATTGCCCCCATCTCCTATGTCACTGACCATAATATAATAGTGTTGTATTTCTAACTCAACTAAAGTATGAATACAATTTAGCAAAACTACTTTTTTAGATAATTTTTAAGATAATGATGTATTTACAACGGACAAAGACGAATATTATCGTAAATAAAAAAAATGTATTATTGGTATATAAATTATGAAAACCTTTAAAACGCTACACTCTTGCCGTATTTTCGTATTATAGACGTACCCATCTATTAAATAGGTCTGACAACACGCAGGGCCTTGATTTTGGAGCTAATTGACACGGATTGCATCATGTTTGTTTATATTATATAAAAAAGATTGTGCGTTTTTTATTATCCGGTAATTTACACCAAATGGCACCAAATTTTGTACACAATATGTTTCTTGCGACTCAGCAGAGTGCTTATAGCTTCATTTTTCAACCCATATATAAGTCGCTTATAGGGTGGCCCACTAAGTAATTTCGTTTTGGCTCACGAAAATCAAATACTTTTTGTTTATACATATGGTTGCCATTTATTACAAAAATAAAAGATAATTTCACATAGGAAATCTATTTATTTATAAATTAATGTATGTTATATACTCAAAAATTGATCGTCTAACATAGACAAAAATTACAGAAAAGTAATATCTATCAGAAAAGTGTTAAGAGCAATTTGAAAATATATAAGTGCTAAATCTAATCCGTCACAGGTGGATTGCCCATATCAATTCTCGGTCGAATTAGTTCGATATGTAAACCGACGCCAGTTTTCCCGTGAACCGAGATATACTGAAACTGAGATACACCTAGGTGGCTATAGGTATATTATAGTGGCATATTTTACTTTTTGTTAACTTTATCTTGGTTAAAGTCGAATATTAGTAATAATGTATTACGCATGTACCTATTTTAAGCACTCGATCGGTTTTAATCAATCCTTCGCTAGGATGATGCGTTTGATGACGATATTCGTCATTTGATAGTAAATTAAAAGTAATATATTAAAGAGTTACATTTCACCGTGCACAATGCACGTACACTGAGTGATTCACCAAGCATGCTCAGTGCTCATCTCTTTTTTTTCTTAAATAATGTAGTTATTTAAAATCTGATTTTTACATTTTTAAGTACCGCTATACCTAAAAACCATATTTTCAAATTCTTGAGATTTTTCGTAACTTAAGGAGTGTCTTGTGGAGATAGAAACTTCTGTTTTTCAAATGAGAACCTCCCTTTTCAACGGTGACTTATTCAGTGGATAATTTTTTCTGAAAAATTAGACGTATTAGAATCAAACTTTGAACGATTATTTTTTGAGTTATTTCACTTTATGTTCTAAGTATAAAAAGTGTATGGTAATAGATTTATAAAATATTGGGCTATGGTGATTTTAAAATTTAAGTCATTAATATTAATCTATCATTATTATTAATTTGTAAAAATGGCCCAAGTATAATAAATAATAATTCCAATATTACGTCTATTTTATATTTATGTAAAACCATTTTTAAGGACTATAACTATCCTTAGTATAAACAATTTAATAACTAAAAAATTACTCATTCAAATTTTGAAATAGGTTGGTATATATTATTATCAACATTTTCAAAAAATTATCCACTTAATAATTTACAGTAAAAATGGCGGGTTTCTCATTTGAAAATTAGAAGTTTGTATCACATCAGGACACTCTTTAAGTAATACAAAAATATTCTAGAATACAAAACAATTGTCTTTGAGTATAATATTTATTAATTCCAAAAATCAGAATTTGAATAATGCACCCTGTATAGGGTTGTTGTACAGGAGTCTCGTGGGTTCCTTCGTTTTAAATTGACAATGCATCATGACGTCATTAGTTTCTGACCTCGAATATAAAGAGTATAAATTAACTATAATAATATTATATTTTTATATGTGTTATCGAATTCGCCGATTAAATATTCATCGCCTAACTATAATATTATAGACGACATAATTTTGCATAGTTTGGTTATTGAACGACCAGAGTACTGACAATTTGAATTGTTCGTAAACTTATATGATATTATGAGTTCACTACGAATTTGGCAGTATTGTTGGGGATCTCGATGAAAAATATCGATATTTCATGCGACAAGACAGCGTAGTTCGTTGCGTCGAATAAACACAAAGTAGAGTTCTTACAGCGGATTGTATTAATATGTTAGATCTAAAAATAATCGTGAATCACTACCGAGTCACAACGATTTCGTTAAATAATCTAAATAGTGAACTAATCTGATATAATATTATGTGTAATGAAATGTATAAAATTGGCGGATTCGGAGTAAATATACAGTGTTTAGTTCGCATTTTTAATTTTTTTTTTTTCATATAAAAAATCAAAGTTCGTAGAAACCATCCGATTAACGTTAAATCGATCCTGTACTAGTGACCGTATTATTTTAAACACTGCATAATATATACTAGAAAACAATAAACAATAATTATAGTTCGAAATAATAATATATTTTTCGTCGAAGATTATTACGCAAACAATACTATGACTTAACGTTTCGTTTCAATACCTACTCGTAGACAGTTTTTTTTTTGTTAGTGTGAGCAACGACGTCGAATTGCATTTACAATAATTTGTACATTACCGTCGTGATTTTCACAAGACGATTATAATGTATTAATTATTAATACAATATTGCAATAAATATTATCTGTCGGCAGAACACACCCAATACACATATTATTTTAGAACTTAGTAGGGACGTAGTATACTAACTGCAGCTAGTTCGAGTCAAACACACTCGGTGGGAAGGCCTATACTATACCTACATACTTGAAAGCTCACGAAGCGTACAATAAAAGTATATTCATACATGCAGGGAAAAGTTTCAGAGGATGTTTTGATTTTTTCGAAATCATATTATGTTGAAAATAATACTATTTATTATTCAGTAAACATAATAGTATAGGTACCACGTATCTTCGAAAAGATTAATAATACTAATATATTTTTCTGACTGAAATAGGTGTACCTACCTATAGGTATAATAAAAAATATAATTTAAAGAATTACATCCATAATATAGACTACCTAGTATTTTCTAAAAAAATGATACTATAAAAAAAAAACCCGGTCAACATTTTCGATGGATGTTATTGTTTACACAAACACCACCCCCCTTAAAATAAAGTCGAATCTACACAGTTCTTTATTTATATCACTGATCCGTATTGTTATTTGTGACCCTGCAGTCGCATGTATGTCACATATAGATAGGCGTTGAAATATATAAATAAAAATATAGTTTGTTTTCCGATTGGTCTCGACCACCGCGGGTGTAGTGTGATTCGAAGCGCTACTGGAAAATAAAAAATACGAAATATTCGGCGCAGTTTCGAATATATTATTTTATATATATATATATATATATTATATAGATATATGCTCGCCGAGGTCGCGGTACCCATGGAATCGCAGTCCCCTCTATCGTATTATACAGAATATACAAGTAGGTACGTTTTAAAATCTGCAGAAACCCGTGATATGGTCTGCAAAATAATAATAAAGACGCGAGGCTATTTTGACAGCGACACAAAGCCGAATGACAATAAATGTAAAAAAGATGGAAAAAAAATATACGAAAAGTGGGTCGATTTCATCGAATAATAATAATTAATTACGTACGAAACCCTTTTCTAGAAAATGAGAAATCGGTAAAATATAATCAAATGCAAGCGTGCCGCCGTACGTCTATATTATAATATATCATTATGGAGTTAATTGATCGATAAGTATCCTCTCTTTCTGTTGTATTCGGGTACTATAATACGCTTATACCTATATAATATTTCGAATTTAAAAACAATAATAATAAAATATCGGTTTAAGCGTCTTCGAATGAGTAGTTATACTTTCTACACTTAATGTTATTAGAATATTTAGAACGGTAATGATTCTGCCGGTAAAAGCTGTATATTATCGTAAATCATGTGGGCTATTCGAAGGTCGTTCGAAACGTGCACGATAATACGGTTATATTTTTATTGTTTTTTTAAAAATACAATGTGATTTTAAAATAGGTGTAATGATCATACCTAAATATACATCTCACTGCGAATTGCAAATACTTTACTGGTCCGTGCTTTTGATGTACTCGGCGATACTATACTTGATATAGGTATCATTAATGCCAGTGTATATAAAACAAATGCATTGTGCGCACAATAATTGAACCATGTAGTTTTAAAATTTATGGTTTGGAGAACAACAGTAAAGTAATTTCCAATTAAAATTAAAACCACTAGCACTTTACTATGACGTGTGTATTATGATATTTTAAAATGCTACATTTTGAGATGTTGATGATGGTGATGATGATGTTTTACGACACAGACAGAACCCGTCAATTTTAAAAACGCATAACCTTAAACACAGTATTTTAATTTGTATCTATTATGTGTTTCAGAATGCCGTTACCCAGCGTAGTCAAACTTCAGTACTCGAACAAATGAAACAACTATTTCTATTTTACAAGAACGAAGGGTCTTTTAGAATATGCTATCCAAGGACAGGCCACCAGCAGGTAAATATATTAGTCCCCGGACAACAATAATAATATTATATTATGTAGGTATTATGAAAAAAATTAAGCCACGCGTTTCCCAAGACGTATATATATTATGTACACGAGTAATATAACGTCTCTTAAGGGTACTTAGAAAATTCGATGCAGTCAAATCGGTTTATTCGGGTACTAGTCACGTTTATTTTTTTGTTACATATTATATTATTATCACGGTAAATACAGGTTATAGAAAAATCGACTGTTGGTAAAGGAAAAAAAATATTCATTCACACGAATTCTTATAAAAGATGGAAAAAAATAATACAAATAATTCATGAAATACGGTCTTGTTGAAATGGTTATATGTCCATTGGAATTGGGTTGGATAGTATAGAAGGCTATTGGCTAAAGTAAAATAGAATGCTACCTTGTTATTTAGTTTTATTGTTTTGTTATTCGCCATTCATATTACCTATAAACAGTATAAACAGTAACGTGCCATACTATAAATATTGATATTGTATTTTATTATTTGCATATTAAGTAGGTATACACTGTATAAACGCTAAGACTCAAATACAAATGTGCATTAAGGAGTGTCAAATAAAAATTTTAAATTCACATTGATGCGTGTACTGATTATTGCAACATAATGACGTATACTATTCTTTAGTCGTCTTGAACTGACATAATAATTTGCGCCTAGCATGCTCATCCCTATTTTTGGTTTACTCCTCATAAGGAGCTTATTCAAATTTTGATTTTCAAAATGCTTAAATATGTATACCATTTAAAAAACAATATTTTGAATTTTCTGATATTTAGATTGTTTTATATAATTTAAGGAGTGTCCTGTGGTGATACCAACTTTTTTTCCAAATAAAAACCCGCTTTTTTCCTTTACATTACTAAGCCGATGACTTTTTTGAAAATATTGTATAACTAAATTGAAATTCAAACGAGTAGGTTTTCAGTTCTTAACGTATAGTGTGTATACTGTATAGTGTATACTTTAAGGATAATAGATTTTTAAACTATGTGGGCTTGTATGATGAGTTGAAAATGATAGTGATTCATATTTAGAGTAATCTATTAACATTTAAAGTTTTGTAAAAATGTCCGAGCGTAATGATTACTAGATTAAATATAATATATTATTTATTTTATATTTTTGTAAAACAATTTTTTGGGACTATTTTACTAAGTACCTACCTACAAAGTTTAATAACTCGTACGATTTTTGATTCAGATGGATCAACATTTTCAACAAAATCAATTATTAGCTTATCAATTTATAGTAGTTATAAAAATATAGGTTGATTCAAAATTTGAAAATAAAACGAAGTTTATATCACCACGTCACTCATAAATTAAACAATATTCTAAGTATTTGAAAATGTGGCATTAAAAATTATCTTAAAAATTCCAAAAATCAGAATTGATTTAACTCATAAGTAAAGGCAAAAATTTGAGTGAGCTTGCTTGGTGAATCACTATGTATATTGTATATTCATCGTCATTTGGTTCTTTACACCCAAGTAGGAGCTGACGTCATCACGGACGATTTCATCGATCATCTAAGACGGATAAAAATCGCCCGACGCGGGTTCAATCACATCTAAATAACAGCTATACAATAATATTATTACTATCATACTTTACCGTTAAACGCGTATTATAGCATTACGATTAATATAGGAATAATAAAGTCGCGAGTCACAAACCATTACGCAAAAGTTTCTTACGATTCGTGAACCCGTCGGGTGAAACGTCGAATTTTCAATGTCATGTGGTGAACAAACAGACTAGCGAAAAATAAAAATAATAATACACATTTAAACGATCTATTGTAGTAGTATCTCAATCTGCGAACAAGCGAAGTTAATGAATATAATAATAATAATAATATATATTATATATTATCGTAACATACGACCATGGTAGCGTGAGAAATCGAGATGTACCTGAAGTATAATGTATTCCTAGGTATATGATTATATTATGTTCGTTTATCTCTCGTGTTGATGATAACCCTCGATATAATATTATTAATTAGAATCTTCTCTATGTCCCGATTTTCGACCGGTTGCGAAACTCTCTCAGCTGATAAAGACGTTGCGAAATATTCTGATATAATATACCTAGCTAAACTCTGTGTTTATAATATGTGAGTGTATCTCAAAGCGGTTCTCAAACGATTAAGTTTACGGCGCTCCAAAAACCAGAAAATCAATTACCTATAAGAAGAAAAAAATTAGAAATCACGATGAGAACGTTGCAATTTAACTAATAATATTGAATTTGGATGTGTCCGCGGAGCTCCTAGATCCAGTGGAAAACGTGAGCGTCAAAATCGTAATACGGATGTTAAAAATAATATAATGTCATATTATAATATAACATTTTATGGTTAGATTCCCTCTGGTTAAGATTTTGGGTGGTTATGTACAGCATCGCAATCAAGACTGTCCCGTGAGCGTAGATTGAGTGGGTCCAAAACATGTATTTTTATTTTGTACTAACCTACCTCCTGTATAACGCATGTAAATAGTATATAATATTATTATATCACGATTATTATTTGGACCAATTTTGAATCAAAAAACATATCACTTGATAAGAATACTCGAATCGCTAATTGCTGCGTGGGAGGAGGATGGAGATCACCTCCCCACTGGTTGCGCCACCGACACCTATTATACAATAATTCCCTTATAGTAAATGAATACACATGCGAGCACGACGCTTATTATAATCATTATAGGTACATACAATAATATGTATTATAATATATCTGTCGGTCGCCCATGCTCTATTTACGTTGTCACATATTCACTTTGCATGACCGTCTAGTTAATCTGTACGGCACGCTAGAAGTTTTCGTTTATTAATTACGGACGTAAGTTTTTTTTTAAAATTTCGATTTCTCTCCTCCCCGCGCGGTGGCGGCCTACGCCCATATTATAATATATTATTATACGCTATACATAGGATTAGATATATAAATGAGTGTCTATAACTATAATAATATAATAATACACTCGTGATCCGTGTTTCCTTCTCAGTTCGAAAAACTATGTAGGTACATTATTACTATTATTATTATTATTATTATTATTATTACAAACCCGACCATTGTTGCAATCGCATTCGCGCGCTGTCGTTACGTCACCTCGGCTGTCCACGAATAGTAAAAAACGCGTTGCCGCTACATGCTGTATCTACCTACATACCACGATAATACAGGTGTATTATGGTATACAGCTGAGCAACAAGTCGCTCTCCCACGGAACCGAAACGGACGCAACGACACAACAATAGAGCACATACACCGAGAGTTTTCTACAAATAGTACGCGTGTGTGTCGTCGGCCAAGGATCTAATATTATTATTTAATACATATTATATTGTGTACAGTGCATATAAAAATATAGAACATAATACGTATTATTGTTATTATAATAATGTCTCGCGTAAGAATGAAAATAATATTCTCTTCTCGAGAATGGACCGATTTTTCCTATTCTCTTTCGTCCTGTCCAGTTTGACGCGCACACACATAATACAAATTACAACAATATTATATGTTATGATTCCATTCATAAATCATTGGTAGGTACTTGCAATTATTATAATATAATTAGACATATTATTAAACTTACCTATAGTAAAAAACGAAAGGCTGCCCTCCATTTAGAATGGTTAAATCAGCAGTCCATATAGTATACACATGCAGCTCGCTCGATAGTATAAAATTAATACTTACTAGGTAGTTTGCGTTGTGTTAAGTAGATTACATTTTATCATATAGTAAACGCGACCTTAAAATATATTTCGAATAATCGTAAAAAATCAATTTTTCCATATAGAGTTAATAAATAAAAGTACCTATCATACTAATATTTTTGGAAAATTATAGAATAATGAGAAATCATGTTAAGATATTTTTTATAGATAATATTAAGTTCTAAAATAAATGCACTTATATATTTTTAATTTTTATTAATTAAATTAAACCAAAAAAAAAACTAGTCTTTTTTGGCAATTGTTTGACCCTATTTTGCGGCACGTTAATGGGGTGAGATATGAGTACCCAAATTTTGACCAACATCACACTATTAATGTATTGAATAAAGTTATGGGGAGAGGAACAAAATTGCTTAATATTTTTTCATCTCAATAAATAAGAACCACCTTGGTAAACTTATAAAAATGTAGTGTTTATTTGACTTCTCAAATAGGTCCTTGCAATGCCATATTTGTACGTAATTGGTCAAAACCAAATATATATCTGGTTAATTATTTAAAATTTTAAAGTATGTTGACGAAAACTATTAAATAGCTTTCTCATATTTTGTTTCGTACGATTTACATTGCACTCGTACAGTATTCACTTGCGCACTAATCACAGTTTATAAGCGGAAGAGAACTGTATGAAAAAAAAATAATAACACTGTGGTGATGTATAACCTCATTCGACCGGTTTTGCTAGACTCTTCGATTAGTCGAGGTACCATTTAGTTTTGGTTTCGACGTTTGCGGTTTTTGAAAAGAGTGGAAATTGCTGTCGTCGGCTCGAGTGTTGATAATATAAAATAAATATCGTTGTTATTTTCTGGCTTAAATTTGATGATAATTAAATAAAACTTTTTATTTTAATGAAATAGATTTTGCTCTCAATTCTATGTATAGATAATATGTGAAGTATAAATGCAAGCGATTTAAACTAAGACCATTATTGCTTCAATGGGAAAATATAAAATAAAAAAAAACATTAGCAAGTATTCAAACACATTATCCAGCATTGAGTTCTACATGTATAATATATAATAATATAGACGATTGAAATATTTATAAATACAAATAAATAATTTTTGATTAGTCGTTGATTCATTATCGTTTGATAGTAATATTCTAGTATAATATTATACTAACCAGACTATTTATATTTTATAACATAGTTATAACTTATAAGTGTTATAACATATTATATTATATCTTTGAAATCGTTAAAAATA